CTGCTGAAAGTCTGGGCATCTTCATTTAGGTTTCATCAGCAGAGACACCAGTAATGAATAATAAAACATACAAAAACCTAAGTTGATGCTGGTTTGTACCTTAAACTTCGTTTTTAAGTCTCTCAAAACCAGGCCTGTGTGATTGGCCATTCTGCAAAGGTCATCACCTACACAGTGTGTTTGGTAGCAGAGGAAGGACATAGTAATTCACACATGCAAATTTATATGAGCAGTAAAACTGCTCACTCACCCTTCAAAGCAGTGTGCTACAGTCAAGACCCATCTCTTTGCAATCAAAACACAGCCACATATGTGTCCACTGGGCTCACTCTGCAGGGAGCACTGCCATGGCCATCGGCCTGGGCGACTGGTCCTACCACCCAGGATCCTCTTGTTCATGCGAGCAGCAGGGCGACGGCCACAGTCTAGTGAGGAACACGAGAGCATTAATCACTACCACAGAAGCACTGTATATAAGACCTTTCTGCAAGAAAATGGCACAGAATGGTATTAACAGAGTCATGAAATTATACTGAGCAACACAGTAAATGAGTCATCAGCAAGCACACAACAGTATCAAACACATCGAGCCATTTTTATCCTTCCTTTGTATCAAAGGATTTGCTCTCCTGATATTAATTTTGACTGGCCCAGCCTGAAATATTAACCAAGCTAAATTTGGGATCCTGACTTCCTTTCTCTTAGGAATTACTGGGCTGATCCTGGGGAGTTTTCCTGTGTTCATGTCTTTGTCTTTCTGTCAGCTAGCAACATGTTTGGCCTACTTTGTACTTATCCATATCAACCACTTCTGGAAAATCTGCTCAGCAATAATAAGGTTTTTCTTAAGCCAGGTGTAAGGTTAATGTCACACTGTTTACTCAGCTACACAGCAGCCTGCTTGCTTTGCCTGTGGAAATTCCTAAGGGAAAATATTTGAAGATCTGAAGACATTCTAGTATTCTGTCCATCCCACGTTACCAGCCACTTCCACTGGAAATTATACCACATTCCCACTTGCCAGTTACTTATCTGAAATAGTTAGCCCTTCACTTTTGTTTCACTTTCTATTCTGGATTTGAAAGATGCCAGACTTGTTATTTATCCTGTTTATACTAAGTCTGATTTAGAGAACAAAAGAACACCACCAAAGGATGATTAGCTGCATTGCATGTATCTGGGAATTTAGTGGTAAAGAAATAAATTGGTTATTTGTAACTCTTACTGTGTTCACTTAACTTCATAGGGCAAGGGATTTTAAGTGCACTTAAAGCAATGTATGCCAGAATATTTGACAGGCTTCTACAACTTTTTTCCTTATTCTGATGAGTAGCAAATGTTTTGATTAGTCTCCCAAATTTAGATCATGCCTTGTAATTAATTCTTCCCGAGTCAAGCTAATTCATGTTTTAAGTGTTCTTCAGCAAAGCTCTCCTTGCCTGTAGAACATGGTATCATTGCTGATGGAAGAATTTCTGCTTTTTAAACCACTTAAACTTGCACAATCTGCTCTGCCTACAGATTTGGTCTGTAACATTTTACTTCAGGTTATTCTATCCCCTTGAGCTTCAAAACTGAACAGATCACAGCTTCAACTCCAGGCAGATAGCCTGCTA